TTATGCTAAAACTAATACTAGCCGGGCAGTTGGATAATTTTGGCAAATGTTCAGCACAATAGCAACGAAATCGGACAGACAAAAGCTTTTTCTTTTATTTCTAATTTTTAAGTTACCTACCTAGTTGTGATAAATATTGAACAATGACTTATTCAATTCAAGAAAGGGTAGAAATAACAAAACTGTATAACCAAAATGGGAGCATTGCAGGAGCTATTGCCCGATTGTTTAATGCCTGACATGAATACAAAAATAATATTAACGATAAATATGTGGAGTTGATAAGAAAATTTGAAGAAACTGGACCTGTGTGTAATATTCGTCGTAATCGTCATCGAGAAAATCGACCAGTTAGAAATGAAGCCGCAGAAATAGCAGTTATGGGACACGTAGCACTTGACAACACCCAAAGCACTCGTGGACTGACTGCTTCTTCAGGATTTACACGCTCAACAGTACAAAGAATTTTGAAAGACAATAAATTTCACCCGCACATGATAAAACTTGTCCAAGAACTTGAAGAAGATTTTAATAGAAGGTTGGAGTTTTGCGAATTAATGTCCCAACGTTTCAATGTTGCAAATCCGTTATTTAATATTTGTTTCTCGGATGAGTGTACATTCTATTTACATGGTGCTGTAAATAGACACAAGTGTCGATATTGGAGTGGCTCGAATCCACATTTATTTCGAGAGGTACACGGAATATCCTGAAAAAATAAATGTGTGGGCCGGCGTTTTCGGAAACAATATTGTAGGACTTTTCTTTATTCCTGGGGGGACACATGTTAGAAAATACAATAGACCCACGAATTACCGAATTAATAGAACATGACGTTAATTATAATGAAAATTACATTTATTTCCAACAGGATGGTGCACCGCCGTACTATGTGGCCCTAGTAGTTTTTGGACATGTCCCGAATCAGTGGATCGGCAGACGAGGCCACATCGAGTAGCCGCTGAAATCTCCGGACCTAAGTCCTTTAGATTACTTCCTTTGGGGGCATTTGAAAAGTAAAGTTTTTAGTGCGATGCCAGATTCCATTCAAGATCTTTGTCAGCTGATTACGGCTGAATGTAGAAAAATATCTAATGTAGACAAACACTCAAGTGGGGAACAGTTTCGAACGAAATATTTATTATTGCATGGACATTACTTTCAGCACCTACCTCTTTATAGCAAATTAATTTTACTTTAACTTTAATGTCCGTGTAAACTGTAAGTTGTTTTTTGTTTTTTTTTTTCGATGCTCGGAGACTTGTTTTTAATTTTAAAGTCAAGTCTTGTTACTGTGGGAACTAAATATATATATTTAGGATTTTATTACAAACTCAAATAGCTTCACAACGATTGAAGATAGTTATAAACTTTATTATACAAAAGTTACTAAAAACTTCATGGCGTATCTAAAAATAAAAGAAATGGGTGAAAGTCTAAAATGTAACGCAATATCTTAGTTTTGGATCACCATGTATTGTACGGCTATAGATGAAAAGACGTCCCTCTAGAAACCAAAATTAACTTGCCTGAGCGTTTTTTTTCAAAATGTACCAGGAGAATCACAAATAGTGCTGCGACCTTTTCCTTGGGCCACTCTGTAAGTAAAAAAGTTCACCGTTTGTCCCTAAAATATTAGGAAAAATCTTATACATCATAATTTCCTATACAGAATAATAAAGTTTAACATGCGTTTGCTCGTCTCAAAAACGGGAATTTCTTGTGAATATCGAGCCATAAAAATTGAGATAATTATTTGTATTTTCAGCGACAGATAAACAAAGTATAATTATAATAGATATTGTTGGAGTTCTGGCTAAAATCAAAATCAAGTAGGTTGCAATTGCAATAAAATATTTGTACTATTTTTCTTATAACAAGAGTGATGTTTACTATAATTTTTGTGCTCTTTGTAATTTTAATAATTATTTATACAGATTACAAAAATTAGGACGATCTGGAGTAGAAACAAATATTTATGTCTCAAACATTGTTGCAACTTAACCCATATTAGTACATGAGCAAAAATGTTAGTTTTCGAAATAAAACTAAACTGCTATAAAGTAGTTTGAGTAAAATTTATAGAAAAGGTACGTTTTCTATAAGACATTGCCTCATTCTTGTTTTGGGTCATTTAAAGAATTCTTCATACTTAGCTGCTACAGCAAGGTTCTTTATTATGCTGATACTAAGGCTAGCGCGACAGTCGGATGAATAATTTTCGCAAATGTTTAGCAAAGTAGCAACGAAATCGCACCGTACTTTTGCTCTCACATCAGACGGTCCAATACGACGCAACAAACGATTTATCAGCTTCCCAGCCAAATATTCAAAAAACTAATTAGAGAGAACCTTTCACTGCTGCAGTAATACGTAAATCGAGTTTCCCTCAGTCAATATTCAACCATTTCTATGATTAATTAGTACCTATATAACATAAAATAGCACTAGAAAACTTCTATACGATGATGATTAAGGACTTATCGGATGTCTAACAAAATGTAACGAAAACACTGTTTTTACTATTAGAGGTATAAATTATTACTCTCATACTAATTTATAACCATCTCGGCTAGACTAAGCATTCCGCATTGTTGACAGTGGGTCTGCTCGACTCGACTATTTATTTCAAATCGACCAATCCATGATTTTTTTATTTGATTTTGTGGACACCCCAGAAATGGCAAATTCTCTTCAAATCCCAAGGCTTGATTGCTCATAGTAATATCTAATAACCACTGTTATACCATTTTTATAAAGTCACCAAACATTCAGCAGTAATCGTAGTAATGGATTGTGTGAAACATGATAACTTCAGAAGTATATATATACCATGTCAATCTGACTCAATTTTTTATGTATACAGTGCAACCCGCTTATAATGGACTCGCCGGGACTGCTGCAAATAGTCTATTATAGACGGATGACCCTCTCAAGAGACACACTTTTTTCAATGAAAAACAGCAGCAGAAATAACATTAAAAGCTTAAAATGTGTTTGTTTAACATGAATTACATAAATAAAGATACATACAAAAAAGTTATACGTAATTTTGGAATTTGCATTTTTCAGAATCTAATACATATATTACAGGCATAAGTACTGTGTAGGTATGTGTAAAAACCGTAAATTATTTGGTAAAAAAAGCTAGTAATTTTCCTTTGGACAGATTGTTTTTTTTTGTATAATTATTTAGAAAAGCAAGTTGAATTTTATTTAATTTGGTAAGTGTGGCTGTACTGTCTTCTTCTTCTGCTGATAATAACGTTGCAACTTTTTCTTGCAGTCTAATGCCTCCTTAGTTGTCACTGGAAGCTCTTCTTTATCGTTGTTTTATAGTTCGTCTTCCTGTTCGTTATCAACGGATCCTTCATTAACCAAATTGGTGTCTGACAATTCCTGTGTTGCTATTAAATTATTGACATTTACATACTCATTAAATTTGTCTATATCCAGTAAACTATTAATTTTCAGTAAATCACTTAATGGAATTTCATCTTCTGGATTGAAATCGTTGACTATTTCAGTTATGTTTTTTACTAAACCAGCACGGCGAAAACAATTACGAATCATTTCTGGAGTAACCAATTCCCATGCAGTAGTAAGCAAATTTATAGCATCTAAAATGGTGACAGCTTTGGTAGTGTTGACATCTTCTTGAAACTCCGTAATTTTCATCAACATATGTTTCCGATACATTTGTTTAAGACTCCATTGATTGCAGAACTGATGTCACATTAGGTGGAAAAAATTGAAGGTTAATGTTATTAAGTGAAATATTTGAATGAGCATGGCAGTTATCGACCAAGAGTAAAATTTTACGATTTTTATTAACAAGTTCAGCGTCCCACATTTTTAAATATTCTTCAAAAATTGATGAAGTCATCTAAGCTTTATTATTTCCAAACATAATCGATGGGAATTGTTTTGAAATTTTTTTTCCCTGAAATAAAAAAGGTCATAAATTCTTTGAAGCACTGTCATTGAATATCAAAAGAATTACAACATGAACTTCTATTCATTCGCTTATCTATTATCAATAGTGTTTCAGTACCAGAAGCATTAGCACAAATTACAACAATTATTCGCCCTTTTTCACCTTTTAATTTATGAGTTTTATCTGGTGGCATTCTACAAAATATCCGGGTTTCATCTGCATTGAATATGTTCTCTGAATAATCACTGGATATTGTGAGCCAAACTTGAGAAATCCAGTCATTGGTAACGTTCTTGTCAACTGAAGCTGACGCACCACACATTTTTCCAAAAACAGTGTTATGTTTTTTTGTCTTAAACCTGTCTAGCCAAGCGGAACTACATTTGAAGTAATCTCCAATCAATTTCCCAAGTTCTTCAGCCTTTATTTGTAGCATAGGTCCACTTATTGGAAAATTATTAGCACGCTTTCGTTGAAATCATTTAAACAGCATATCATCGACTTGGGGATGCAGCGATAGCTGCATTTTTTTCTTTTGGCTATTTGATTTCCAGTCATTTTTAATTTTGTCACGGTTTTTCCAAATATTTGACACAGTGGATTTTTTTATAGCCATACGAGCACATATATTTGCTTGAGATGAACCCTGCTCTAGCTCACTAATTATTGTGAACTTTTCGTGTAAAGTGAATGCACGTTTCGCACTTTTCGACATGTTTATAACTCTAATAAATACAGTATAACACTGGTGGCCAAGTTCGGATACAAACTGCGAAGCCAAACCGCCGTAAACGATTGCCTCAGCTAAATCTGCTTCGGAGAAGTACCAAAATAGCTCGCATATAATGGAATTAAATAGTCCGCTATAAGCGACGGTCTATTTTAAGCGAGTCTATAATCCGAGGATCTTACATGCAATTATTTATGGGACCTCCAGTTGTGTCCATTATATACGGGTTTCCATTATAAGCAAGTTCATTATAAGTGGATTCCACTGTATTTCAGTTTATATAGCTGCTGCAGCCGCATCATTTATGTATCTCATTATCTGTATTTCTTTCAGATGAAATGGTGGACTTATTGGCAAAAGCAAGACTACAGACTGAACCTCAGGGAGTCCAAAGAATCCTTGGACGATGTTGGAATGATTCGCTTGATTGGGAACCACAACAATCAGAATGGGCTTTCAGGTGCAAAATGAGTTATATACACTATTTTCTAACCAAAACTAAGCGTAGTATGATAGACTATATGCCTAACCACACAGTCAAGGTTCAAAATTTAATTTTATATTTAAACCATAAGCCAAATCATAATATGTCATTGAAGTGACATGTATAAGAGTATGAGGCATGCCGAAAGATAAAGTGTATGATGATCATAGAGATAAAATATGTAGATATGACTAATTCAACTCGAAGGTGGTAAACACAGATGATGTGTGACTAATATTGTCTAAAAAAAGCTTATCAGGTAAACTTTCATTTGAAAGTTTAACGTAAGTGCGCCCGTTACGGCATCAAATCGCCTTTCAACAACGGTAATCTGGATTCGAACTTTGCACGCTCTTCCACATAATCCACACAACCAGATCTGTTCGATGTAAGACTTCTAGGCGGATTCTCCAGAAAAAAACGTTTCCTCAATTTCAAAAGGGCAGTAAACCCTTCATGTCGTTCTTACTCGCGATAGTGTCATTTCGTTTTCCTTTGAGCTATACATATTGATTTTTTTGCTACCCCTTTTCATAACGCCTAAAAATGTAAGCTCCGTAAGCTCATCCCAAGAAAGTTAATTTTCACGATTAATTTCACACTGACTGGGACAATGGCCGTAATAGGCCTAATGAGCGTATAACCACAAAATTCATTATACACATAATCGTTTTTGTGATCTTTCAGATGGACCCAGCAATCGCAAATCTCCATAAGTACTCAGGAGTGCTTTGCAGATGTATTCCCAACTGATTTTTCCATTCTCGCTGTAGCCAGACCAACACCAGGTATTTAGAATTCAAATGTCTTATGTATACGGGGTTTGATCGGGGAATTATGGGATCGTTCACGTTCGCAAGGAAGAACATTAGAGCGGTATCAAGCCACTGTTCTGGTGTTGGAAAATAACACTTATGCGCACTATTTTTGATATTCCATTGCAGGTAATAGTAGCCGAAAAAAATTACTAGATTTAAATTCAATAGAAATAATGTTTCTTCTTTAGATTATGTTTTTATATCATGAATATAGGACAAATGGTCTTTGATGAAAAATGCGCACACTTTTGCGCAAAAATAATAGGCAACTAGAATAGAATATAAGTCAATAGAACAGCATAAAACAGAATAAAATGGAATTAATTTAGCATTTATTCAGCTTTTTAGCTAGTTCATAAAATAAATATTTACAGCATGTTCTCCATGTCTTTTATCCATTAAATGAAACCACATATGTAGGCTTCAGTTTTTACTAACTTTAAATATTAATTACTTAAATATGATATATTTTTAAACGCAGTTATCGCTGCAGACCAAAGTAATATGTCCTAGGTCTCCATTTAAAAGCACTCGCACTGGATTTTACAATCTCAAGTAGGTTGTTTTGGATTTTTAAACCATCAACAAGGATTCCTTTTTCTAAGCCTTTAGACTAAAATCTCCAATATTGTACCTTTGCATCTCAGACCGTTTTATCAAAAACTGTTCAAAGTAAAAATAAATGCAAGTGCTGTATGGCATGTAGCAATGTCTTGTAGAAATCACACGTTATCCACATCAATGTTATCCAATTTAGGCGGAAAGAAGCCTACAAATTTTCATATATATATAGAAGGAGGAAATGTAGCCCTATTTAAAAAAAATCAGCCATGTTACTGCTAAATCGTAATGTAAAATTTATGATCAAATTTAAAGAAAGAATACTGGGCTCTACTAAACATACCGGACGTTTGGTGTACAATGTTACTTTACATCATGTATTAGTTAATAGGAAAATATATTTCTGTATGCAATCCACCAACGTCGTTAAAAAATGCAAATCTTGATTAAACTCTCATTTCGGAGCTTAAAAATACAACGAATGTTTTTATTTACTACAAAATGGGTACACATTTTAAAAAAGTTATTAATCCAGCCACTATTATTAAATTCCAGGTGCAACATATCCCCTTTTTACTCTGTACAGTAGAGACGGCGATGAACAACTATCTGTTAATGTTGGAAGTGACATAAGCGTATACTACGAAGACACCGAAGAGCTGCCTTTAGAGAACAACCTCATACCCTTCGGAGTTGCTATAGACGATGGAGAGTAAGTAAAGCATGCTTCTAACATTGCTTGGGTCGAAACTATTAATCATGAGCTTTGAGAGGAAACAGATGTATAGAGTGATAAAAAATATCACAAAAGTCATACAGAGATATCCAAATATCACTGACGAGGTTACGTGTTGGAGAGAGATGCTCGAGAAACGTACAATACGTGTGAAAGCGGGAAAGGATGCGCCGTGCGCCGATGGTATCACGGCAAGCCACAGCTGCATCCGTGGCCTCGTTTCTAGGCAACGCGGTACTTCTATCTCTTTCTAACATACATATTGCATGCATCTCGCACTTTATCTCGTACACATTACGACGTCAGTGGTGTATGGATTTCTGTGTATAAACAAGTGTCCTAAGTTACCCCCTTATCGAGATGCAGAAGAGATAACGGTATCCCCTTAAATTGCGGGGGTTGAATACACCTAATGATGTAGTTACTCCAACTCCAACAGTTGATTTTTCTACTGACTACCATTTCACTACTACACTAGCTATGCCTAGCGTACAGGAAATCGATGTGCTACAGGCGCTCAAGAAAATTAAGCCAAAAATGACTGCAGGGCCTGATCAAATACCTGCATTTTTTGTGAGAGATTGTGCGCCCATTTTAGCATATCCACTCATGATCATTTTCAATCTCTCTCTGAAAAATAATCACTTTCCATCTATTTGGAAGTTGTCTAGGGTAACTCCTGTTTTTAAAAAAAGTGAGAGGAATTATGTAGAAAACTATCGGGCTATCACAATTATCAGTAATTTCGCTAAAACATTGGAAATAGTGATACAAACTGTGCCATATTTCCATGTAAGCAGGTCTATCTCCATTAGTGAACACGGTTTCATGAACAGCAGGTCCACAGTTACTAATTTGCTACATCTTACTCAATATGTTTGTGAATCAATCGATAGACAACTTCAAACGGATGTAATATATACTGATTTCTCTAAAGCGTTTGATAGTTTAGATCATAACATCCTACTCAATAAGTTATCTAGATTTGGTCTTTCCGATGCCTTGTTGCTATTTTTCAGATCTTCTTTATTTCATAGGAAACAGTATGTTATGTGCAATGGACATAAGTCAAGCGAATACCCTGTAATGCCCGGTGTTCCTCAAGGATCTAATTTGGGACCTCTGTTATTTATTATGTTCTTAAATCATATTTCTGAAGTTATTGATGTCGATTTTCTTATATATGCTGTCGATATGAAACTTTTCTGTAGAGTCTTTAACATTGACGACCGTCATCGCTTGCAATGCAACATTGTAAGGGTTGACAACTGGTGTCGTGAAAACAGACTGGTTTTGAATGCTGCTAAGTGTCACGTTTTGTCGTTTACTTTAAAAACAGAGGTAATGATGTCTGAATATAGTATTGGTGACAGAAAACTTGACAGACTCAATACAATTAATGACTTGGGAGTCACATTTGACAGAAAACTTTCCTTCTCCTATCATATCGAAAATGCTGTTGTGGCTGCATCAAAGGCGTATGGTTTTATTGTAAGAAATACTGGTGATTTCCTTTACACTGAAAATACTGTACTATGCTTATGTAAGATGTAAGCTTGAGTATGCATCCCTGGTATGGTATCCTCATCATCAAATATATATTGACCGCTTAGATTCCGTTCAAAGAAACTTTTTAAAATACCTCTCATACAAAGCTGACAGGATATATCCTCATAGTGAGTTGATAATGAGACACAAAATTATAATATATATAATTTAGAGAGCAGACGCAAAAAGAATTCACTTAAGTGCACTCACAAGCTCATCCATGGCATTATTGACTCCAGTGACATCTTAGAACAACTTAACTTCTTAGTTCCTAAATTAGCGTCTCGAACTAGTTTTACTTTTTACTTAGCCAGGTAGCCTAGGACTGACATACTTAAGTTTTCCCCTATCTATATAATGTGCCGTAATTATAATTCAGTTAATAGCGTTTTAGATATATTTTCGTTTTTTGCGACTTTGGGAGACATTAATGCTTATCTTCGTTAATTCTTGCCGGCGTGATTGTTGAGTGCTGGGTAGGTAAAGCTACAACGCTTTTTTTCTCGCAGTTCTGTTTTGAGGTTTTTTTGCAGCGTTTTAGCTTTCTCTACATATATCCACTACATGCATTTGTTTATATTTTCATGTTTATCCATCCTGTAATTGGCTATGGCTGTTGGATGTTGCTAAATAAATAAATAAATTGCTGTACATACATACAGTATCAACGATTAAGAACAACAAAAATTTTTGCTACCCGTACTACACCAGTCACACTGAAACTATGACATTTTGACCGCCTATAAAAGGAAAAACAAATTTATACGCCACTGAATTCCCTAAAATATTTACTGAATCTTTAGATGAGGCATTTAATTTTACATAAATTTTGCTGAGACCATACCTGTTTAAGATAAATTAGTTTAAAAATTTGAAATAGATATAATCTTTATGGAACACTTAAATCCGCACCGGTATTACGTAACTTTAAAAGTGATATTGTATCGATTTTTCATGACATTATGTAGGCTTTTTGGGCATTATGTAGGTTTTCCTATAAAATGTCACCTTTCAACTAACTGACAATAAACTAGCGGCACACTAGCAGCTACCTATTGCACAAGTTGACATGTTACCTAATTTTTGGCATTATAATCTTTTACGTAATATCTCTGCCGTTTTCCTTTGAAAACATACTGACGATAGCGAACTGTGGCATTACAATAACCTCTCCTCAGCCTAGCGTTATTTGAATAATTTTCTTGCTTCTTTTAACCATCCTACCGATTAGCATGGGCACCTGAAGGAATTTTTCCAAAGAGCGCAAAGAAAAAATATATGATTTCCGAAGTATACCTTCTCATACTAATGAGATGATATATGATATTAAATACTAAATTAACTTACCTCTGATGGTTCCTTGAGAAAAACAGCCCCAAAATACACCACACACGTTTTTATAGCGTATCCTATTCATTCAAAATGTTTTTTAATATGATGGAAATCTTCCCAAACGCAAAGTACCTTATTCATGACAAACTGTCACCTCTAGTAGTAACTCTGTGATATGTCCTTAATGACTCCCACCAGTGGAGTAAAAATTTTCAGCACCCTGTATCTTGATAGAGATACTTTAGGCCCTATACTTATATGCTAATTTTCAATGTTCATACTTAGTACTCTATGAATATTCTTATTATTTTTTAATAACCCTGTATAATTAAATATCTGATTACACTATAAGTGATAAGCATGTAATAATGAAGGAAAGGTGCATAGTTAGGTTGTAAGGCCCTTTTAGATTCCGATGATAAAGGATCTAAAATTCTTTTTTTTTTCGTAAAGCAGTAAAGCATGGGCGGTCAGTAAAACCGCAAGTTACGTAAAAGGTAGATTTTTGAATTTCTTAATCAGATAAGAACATCAACTTTACAGGAACCCAGCATGGTATTACCCACTTCTCAATATCGACTTCGCAAAATAGTTTGACAAAAATATATTGACAGTATATCTGCACAGGAATACTTGATAGCGCGTAATGCAAAGAAATCTTCTTTGGACAGCAAGCAACTACAAAAAGTGATATTAGGATTTGCCTATCAAGGCAATACTGTCCATTTTTAAGATTACCCAACATTTATACTTATATGGGCGAATTTCAGCTCCAATACAAATTATTCATCCCCAAACAAGAATACGTCACAATAATCTCATCATGCCCAGAGTACATCAACCAATCATAATGGAGCATACGCAGCAAATTTCCAGAACTTCCTCGAATTTCACGGCCATCTAGCAACCCTAATGATAACAATGTGCTATTCAAATGGTGTTGTTTCATCCTATAAACAGCAATGAAACCCAACTGAACGTAATCTGACGCTGTTAAAGTGTGTATCGGCGCGGTACATAGTTTGTAATAAAGGAATATTGTGTGCAACAGAAGAAGAAATCCGAACGAAAGTCTTAGGTAAATGCCATTTCTACTTGAATTTATCGGGAAAATCAAGGTTCGATGGCGGGAAAGCCATAAATATAGCAGGTGTAAACGTTGGACCCTGAGCTGATATATAACTTCACCGGAACGCGGAGAAAAATCCTGCTTTATGATCTTACCGATTATATCGAATCACTATTAAGGCTAGTAGACTAGGGCATATGTAGGAAAAAACCTGAAAGAAAAAATGAGACGGCTGATGGACTGTATGTCCCACAAATTAACATATTTTTTGTTCAAACTGAGCTAACGAGCATAAGCTTTGCCAAACATTTGCGGAAAACTAATAAGCATGAGTTTCATTAAACAGCAGAACAACAGATGGACCGACGGAAATAACTGACACATATATGTTATTGGCGTGATGCAAACAGATAGTTGATAGTGATTGTGTTGAAAAAAATTAAAGATTTTTACATACATACCAAATAAATTAAAAAGCTACATCTAATAACTATACTCAGTGACATTACAAGTGTTACACCAAGAAAAAATAATCTCTTCAACTTGATTTTTTTGGCAATGAGGTATTCTTGCATAAAGAATGAAACGATAATATTCTCACAAAACTTTATTGACAAGTAATAAGAAAAACAAATATATTGTGTTGAGCGACCCCGCAGCTGAATACACTCCTGTATCCGTCTAGGCATCAACAAAATAAGTTGATCGATGTCTGATTGTGGCATCTCATTCCGAACAACTCGAACTTCGTGGATTAGCTGTGGCAGAGTCTGTGGCGGATGGTGCAAAGTGGATTGTCTCCTCCCATCATAACCCACACATGTTCGATGGGATTTAAGTCCGGTGAACGGGGTGGCCACGGCAAAACGTTAACGCCTGCTTCTTGAAGAAATTCCGTAGCTCGACTGGCAATATGAGGACGTGCGTTGTCTTGCTGAAAAAGGACGAGTAGACGGCATTCTATATGCAGTAAAGCGGTTTGTAGGACAGCATCAACATAACGTTCAGCAGTCATATTGCCTTGAAC